CATCCCACAGCGCGGTCTTCTCGCGCCTGCCGCTGCTGCCACGTGCCACTCTTGCGGCCGAAAACTCTGGTCACCCATCCAACAGCCACCCAAGGGCGTCCCGTCCCATCCCGCAGCGCGTGGCCACGCAGGCGTCGGCCTTGCGAGGGCTGTTGGAGCGCGGCCCGTTGATGAGTTGCCCTTGGGTTAACAGCCGGGCAGGTCTGCCCCGCCTGCGCCCCGCTGCCAAACCCGCGTCGTGTTCTCTCGCCTGTGCCCACAACGCTGCTGCAGGAACCGTGCCCCGCGCCCTGCCCTGGTGTCCACCCAGGCACGGGTGCCTGCCGAGCCTCCCCGCTTGCGCTTTCCCTGACGACGGGACAGACCTCGCCCCTGACCTGCTCCAGATTTGCTGGTAAACCTGCCGGAACAGGGGTTATCGCAAAACTAACCTGCTTGAACAAGTCACCGTTGTAGATACCCAAAAAATACACGACGTGATGCAATTCATAACAAAGTGCAAGGTGGACTTAACATAAGGAACCAAATTAACGAACCGTCTTATCTCAGTATTTAAGCAAGCAGCACGTTATTGCACATAATCATACGGGGAGCCCAAATACGGCAATCAAGTAGCGTACAAGATTAGGAACGGACAAGAAGGCGCTCATCGGGTGCTGCACCAGGTGCATATGAACACAGCGGGAAGAAAGAAACGATCGTCCTAGCGCTGTACGGGCCCTGCAGAGGATGGCGCCGCTGCAGCGTTGCACTGTAACTAGAATATTTTCCACAACGCCAAGTGAAGTCAACATTTTACAAAATAAACCTTCTTAATGTTTTCCTTATTTAGGACATCGATGATGTCGGGCATAAGTACCATCTGGAATTGGTGTTAGAAGACATCCTTGACAAAGTGAGTTCAGATTTATTTAATTAATACATTTGGTGGGCAGAAGTTGGTACTACTGATGTGTAATAAAAAGCCAACGCTTTATGCTGCTGATCCTGGCTGGGGCCAGTGGACACACACAATGCTTGGGTGTCGATTCAGATTTTTCTATACTGCACATCAGGGGGGGAAGGCTTAATTTTACCGAAAGGGAACCCCATTTTCTACACCATAAAAGCCCTGAATATCTGGTGCCTACCACTGTGACAGAAGAAAAGCTTGAGGGATGACGAGGACACTAAAGTGTCATTCAAATTCAGATTGAAGTTATCTGAACCCCTGAGGCCAACTGCATAGCACAAGTGACATTCTGCACCACAAACACTGCCCTTTCTACCGCTGCAGAGAGAAAACTGCCCTTATAGTCACAGAAATACTGTGAATTTAACCCTGTCTTAAATAATGACAAATCTCTATGGACCAGACTCAGAGAAAACAGCAACTACATAAAGAAAAAAAAAACCAAAACATTTTGTAAGTGCAAATTACCAATATTATGCCTGTATTTAATGAAATATTAATACACATAATTAACTCTGTAACAGGACAGTACTGTTAACTGCACTGCTGAGGTTCTTTATCATCTGGGCAACAAAAACATTGCTCCAGATGTGCAATTCACAATTGAAGGAGAACTTAAGAACACAGATGAAGCAGATAACATATTCTACAATCGAATCAAGAGCCTGGAAAAAGAGCTTGTGGCAGAAAACATACCAGGTACCAAGAAGGGGTCTGGGTGAGAAGGAAGTTTTTGAGACAGTGTTCTCCATGGCCAGAAGCAAACCTGAGCTCAACTGGTGGTGGTCCATGATCTACACGGGAGCCCCTTCCACACAAGCCAGGGCCGATGGGGGAATCAGGCCATTAGCCCTGCTCTGAATACGTGCTGCTTCACTCTCTCTTATCCACGCTGGTGTGTCAATCACAACACTATTAAATTTATTCACTGCTTCTGAAATCCCGAACCAATACGTGATTTGCATGGGATTGTTCTTGGAAGCCACCTGCTACCGCTACCTCTTCCTTTACCAGCGTCCCGCTCCCTGTTTGTACATCAGACACCCCGACTGTAGTACTAGGGTCTGCTCTTGCTTTAGAGCAACACCTGTCTTGAAGACTTTATGGAATATATATTAACGGAAAGAAGTGGGAGGAAAACAGACACAGTGGCAATGTCGCTGCTATTCCAAGATTATATGGAAGGTCTCTGACACAGCAAGGAACGCAAGCAAGTGACTTTAGCACCAAACCCTACTATTAGGTGATAAGGTTCTGTTAATGGCTGCAACTCCATGAATCTTACTTAATGTATATTATTAATTTTGTTTTGCCAGACAGCCATGGCAACGTGTCCCCAGAAATGGAGCCCATCCATCTGCTAGCGTGGGTCGCCTCTGGCTATGTCATATGGCAGAACTCAACCGAAAACACCAAGTTCCAACTTGCCCAAATTAAACATGTGAAGCAAGTGGTAAGTTACTATCAGTGCCCTGCAATAAAAAAAGTATTTAGGAGCTAAGCAGTTGTGCATGTACTGGACTACAGCTGAAGCCAACTTCTTAAGCAAGAAACCCCAATTGTGTCTGAACTTCTTGGTCCAGTTCATTTTTAAGCCAGCATTTGCCTTTTGTTCCACCCGCCCTATTTCTCTAGCAAATCATGAAGGCTTTCACTGATGGCTTTATTTTGGATCACTACTCCTCTTTATAAATTTTTCTTATAGAAACTCTGTCTTCTTGGCAAGAGCAGTACTCTATGCTTATGTAGTTATGAAAATGGACTCTTCCACTTGGAGGTCATCACGTTCATTATAGTTTTATATTACTTTCCTGCCTTTCATCTCTGATGTAAGCCCAGCTGACAGTACTCTTGCATCTGCATAACACGCACTGGAATACTGTTGTTTATCTCTTGATCTACACCATGATCTAGCAATCAGTCACAGTAATACTGCGTGACACCTCTGCGATAGCCGTGTCTAGGCAAATAGCAACAGGCTGCACCTCAAATTCAATAAAATACAATCTACATTGCTTTTGTTTGCAGTACTGCAGTCTCTATCCATCTGCTAGTTCACGTCAAAATGCTAATCAAGAAAGAAAATATCAATTTAATTCCACTCTCAGTATTAGCTTTTTTACTCTGTCGTTCCCAAACTTACTTTTACTATTTTTTTTTGGGGGGTGGGCAGGGGGAAGGAGGGGAGAGAAGAGAGAAAACCTAAAACTAGTTTGTAGAAAATATACTGTGAGTTAAGAATAACTCCTAAAGGGATGGTCAACTTTAAATTCAAGGAAGTTTAGTATGTAAGCTAGAACAAAGAAGCAGGACTTCGTATTTAGAAAACCCAAGATATTGGGAGTCTTCAGAACAGACTTTGAGAGCCCCAACATTTGGCCACTCAGAACAGCCAGTGAATTCCCATGAATTTCTAGGTATGAAGGAAAAGCAGAAACTCATTCTGGGAGCATGATTTGTTAACGTTTTGCTCCCTCTGATGGCTGTCTGAAAGCAGTTCACAGATGCTGCAGGGCTGTGCACAAGCAAGATTGTAAAACCCCCTTTAACAAACCAGATGAATTTAAGGATAAGGCAGACAGAAGACTATTAAACTAAACCAACTGTCATCTCTCCCTAGTAATTTTCTTCCTTTTCTTTTCCCTGAAGAACAGATAGATAAGGAGAATGCTCTCAAGGCCAGTGGGTATTCTGTCGCTCACACAATCCCTGGTAACTTGTTATCCACTATCAGGCCTCCGGAGCACGTTCCAAGTCTTATCCTATTGACAGTTTCATTTAGGACTATTTGGGTTAAATTGACACCTTGTAGAATCAGGTGTTCCCAAATGAGTTCCTGAAGTTGAGATATATCTAGCTTCTTTAAGGGGGGAATTAGCACAGTTTTAGGTTTCACATTCGGTCTCTCAGATGCAATTTTGGAATTCACAGGAATACAACACAGTATCTTTTTGTTTTGTTATAACAACTAAACTCCATCTGCTTTATACGTTAACACGAGCTGCCAGTTTCATCTGAAATATATCAGAGAACTTTTATGATAACCAAAGAGAACTGATTCACTTCTTTTAAGGTGGGGAGAAGCCCTAGATTCAGCCCTTTTCATCTTGTCTTTGCAGAAAAGAAGTGATGAGTATCTTGAATTTGACTACTTGATTCTACTTCACGAAATGGTGTCTCAGGTAAAGTCTTCTTTCTAAAAAGCCTTTTTTTTTTTTTTTTTTTAAAGACTGCCAACTGCATAACCTCCAACTCAGACATGCAGAGGTTAGGGCAACAATCACTATCTGCCTCAGCATTACCGGCTTCTGCCCCTATGCAGGCAGGAGACAACAGGTCTCCAACTCGTATCAGTAGACAGTGATTTTCAGCTATTCCTGGGCCTTCTTGGGAATGGCAGAGGCTCAATACACTGGTCATTCACAGCTCCCTCCTCTTGGGAGATACAATTGCCAAATTGGCCAGGGCTAAAGGGAAAAAGCAGCTGCCAGCATCCTGGACTGCTTAACTGCATTCCAGCTGGAGCTGCGGAGTGCCTCTACGCTAAAGGACAGCAGTGGTGGACCAGCACACAGAGGCATCGTCTACCCCAGTAGTTCACACAAGAAAGCAGCAGAAACTTTGGTTCCCAAAACAGTATTTGCATTGTATGCTATTCCCCATCATAATTTTGCAATCTGAACAAGTGTTTTCATTAGAAAAAGGCAGAAAATTTGAAAGAGAAGTTCCTGATTGTGCAGCCTCCTGTTACAGATCATCCACTGATAACAATCGGAGATCTCACTCCCAGCTCTAGCTCCACTCCTTCCTACCCAACTGCACTCTCAGTTAAGTTGGAGCATCTATAGTGGTTTTAGTTCCTACGTTTTCTATGAAGACATAATTAATGAAAAGCAGTAGCTAGCTAATGGCAGGACAAAACCTGGTTCTTCATTGTACTCTGTTTGGTGAAGGGCAGGTATCCCAAAATACCAATAGCACTAACAGTAAGGGTAATCCAACATAGACATGCTTGAGCTGCAAAACTTGCCTAGATGAAGGAAAAAAAAAAATGTAGTTGCAGCAGCATGGAGCACAAAACAGGCTGAAAAAAGCTTGCAGGAGAACTTCAGGTACTTGGACAGCTCAACAGGACTGCGTGTTGTAGTGCCTACCCTGCACTGGTGCTTGATCAACCTATTTATAATCAGCCTGGATACAGCTGTATTACTGCAGTCAATTCCTGTTCAGCATTGTTAAAGAAAATACCTTCTCACTTTCTACAGTTTTATTTTCTACCCGCAGGAGATCATTCCCTGGCAAATGACAGTTCTCTGGCACCCACAGCATGGCGTTCAAGTAACACAGGACAGCCGTCAGCCAAAACATGCATCGGAGTAACAGGTCACCTGATATTGCAATGGAAGGAGCTGAAATGCTCCAGTAAGCGTTTGAAGGGAGGGCAGATAAGTTGATGAGGGTGGATATGCAATCAAGGTACAAAGAAAAAAGTCCTTCCTCAATTAAACTTTTCCTATGCATTGAGCTTTGATCTGATAATCCAGAAGGCACTTTGCCTGCTACGTAACCAAATTCTGCATCAAAATAAATTTTAAAAACTTCTGTTGCCAGAATGGATACTTACGGTACAGGTGCGGAGATGTTCTCCCTAAAGGCAACTTTTGGCTTTCCCATGGTGCAAGGGCAACCATACTCCCTTTCCATTCGCTGCAGAAAAAAAAACCAGAACGAAATACAGAGTTGTTCCGTTGGAGCAACAGAATGGATATTATTTTATTTACAGATCTTTCTGAAATGAGAAACTTAATTAGGGCTAGCCAGTTTTTTGGCTTGGGGTTGGATTGATTTTTGGGGTCTTGGTGGGCGGGTTTTTTGTTGTTTTTTCTTAAATGCCACAAATTATTCGCTGTCATTCTGCAGTCAGTCTTGTTTAGGGCTTATAGCTTCAGATACAGGAAAAGGGAACAGCATTAATTATTTTACTCAAGTTTAAGTTTTTCAAGACAAAAAGCTATCTTTTCTTCATCTTGTCAACGTTTCAGATACATCTACTGTGTTAGACTAAAATGAAGTATAGATGTCAACTTGAAAGAAACAAATAAATCACTGTAAGTAACTATTCCCTCCAGCCTGCATCATCTCTTATTATGGAATGATACATTTAAAAACACAGAAACAGAACATTTCTGTCTCCTGTAGAAAATGGCTAGCAGTAAAATTCATTATAAGCAAAGGCTGCTAAAGCAAAGTATAGTGCTTAATACAATTTTTTTACGGATTTGAAGCAAAAAGTAAAATATTGCAGGCAAAAGTTTAATTTAAATAGATTACAAGCCTTCAAAATAGAACCACTGGAGAGAAAGAATCTTCAAAAGTTGACTAAAAAGTTAAGCTCTTCCTGAAGTGGCTAGCATTGTTCATGTTAATGCCACAGTGCTTCCTGCTAGGAAGATCTCAAAATAGTTGTCACACGAGGATCCTGATTTACACTAAAGCAAGTGGAGTTGTACATCTCCAAACATCTTGTAAACTTGACGTGTGCTTACGCACCCCATTACAAAATAGGGCACAAAGGCTGGCACCAGCCCATCTGCAGACAGATTTTGGTCTCAGACAGAAAGGAAGGAGAATTCTTGGTTGGGAAAACAGTCAAAAGCAGAGTCCATGGAACCTGCTTTCCAAATTACCTGGGCATAGATTTCCAAGTGCAGTTCCCCCATTCCAGAAACAATGGTCTCTTTGCTCTCATCATCAAAATGGATTCTAAAAGTGGGATCTTCCCTTGTAAACCGGTTCAGGCCTTTTGAAAATTTATCAAAGTCATTCTGAAAAACAATTACACACACCAGAAGACATTAACTCAACATCCAGAAGTCACACAACAAAAAGGCGTCAAATTTTCCAATCCACTGCTTAGCAATTCTACTCTCATGAAGTGATTTTCTGAAGCACAGACATACATTTTTAACTCTTATTTATCCCTTCAGTTACTCCCAAGTCCTCATTTATCCACCCATGTCAAAGACATACATCTTCTTTACAGCTAAGTGATGCCATCTAATGCAATCACACGCTGAGTTATCTGAATATCTTCTTAAGTACTTTGGATGGAACATTTTAAAACACTGCTCATTTTTGTCTATGGTTCCACATTTAATTGCTAACCTGCATAAAATTCTAAAAGCAGCGAAGGAAAGGTAACTCAGAAAAAGGTTGATTCATAGGCTCCTACCTTGTTGGAAGGCTTCATAGCTACTGAAATGACAGGATCAGGGATGTGAATTGATTCCTGCAACGGCCATAAAAGAAGAGATCATACAACCGAGTTCCACTACACCCGGTAATGTTATTTCTCCAGAAACGTTTGGTCACAACAACTCTGGGTTACAAACAGCGATGACCTTTCTACTTACCTAGCTTGTATCATAGCGTAACAAAATCATGTAACTCTCCTGAGGATTACTACAAGGCTATAACATAACACACACTGTACTGCCAACCACGTTATTTCCAACATTGCTTCCTAGATGCGAAGTGATCTCTGGATTTCACACTAGTTAGAAGACTCTGCTTCCTATCAGATTTTGTAAATATATATATGTAACTAAAACGGATGTATTTAAACACATACACAAATACATAGCTTAATATTTTGGGGTAATGGCATCCACAGCACAGAACAGTTTGCTAAGACTGAAGTAACACATTGGATATCAAGCGTCGTAAACAGGTGTCTCTCTTGTACACACCATACTTTATATATTCAGGCTCCTTAAGGTATAACAAAACATCACAAAAAATATTTGCAGTTGCATACACATCAAAAAATATTTAACCTGAAAAAATGATTACAAACTTCTACATCAAAATCCTGGTAAATTCCAATGCATGAGGCATATAAATGAAAAGGTGTACTCACCATGGAAATGTCCGTACTAGTTTTATCCGTGAACGTATCCCCACTAGCACAATCAATTCCAAACAATGCACATATGTCTCCTGCATAAACTTCACTTACATCCTTAAGAAAGAAAAGTTTACCATTTAGATAACACTGAAAGATCTATTACAAACTACACGTAGTTTTAAGAAGATACATAAATACTGCATTTAAAAGCTTTAAGCTAAGCTCCTTTGAAAATTCCAGCTTTGATAAAATGCTCTGTAAATCTTCCATCTCTTTCTTCAAAGCACAAAAAGGAAACCTCAACTCGGGTGGATGTGAAGCAAGCAACATAGTAAGTTTCAGGCAGTCCTGACCCAGCTATAGAGTTCAGGAATCTTAAACATGAAAGTGTAATATTTACAGCAGTCTGAGAACCAATTTTTAATTTAAGAATTGTATTCAATAATCACATGGAAGAAAACTTTTTTTATATATTTTGCCAATCCTATTTCCCCTCTCCCAGAAGTATGGAATGTGGGGGATAACGCTCTCTTTGGCTGTCACCTCAAAGCTGTTTTATAATGCATCCTGGGCAAAGATTCTTCCACTTCAGTGGAAATAATGCACTAGAGATCATTCCAGTTTCTTGTAGAGCTCTATTAAGCGCTACGGGCAAGTATGAATTAACAGCAAAAGCAGAAATTTGACATATCATCATTCAGAGATAGTTGACAAGCACGAAGCTTGTTTAGTAAGAGTGGTTCAAAAGGCAATCCATGTGGATTGTACCTCTCGCTCACCTCCATGTTGTCTGAATGCATACGGACAAGTCTTTGCACACGCACTCTCTTCCCAGTCCTGGTGTTATAGATGTAATCAGATTTTTTCAGCATCCCTTGATAAACTCGAATATAGGTTAACTGCCCAAAACGGCCAGCCTGGAATCAAAGTTCATTAAAAATCAGATATAATCATTCTGGGAGACAAGAACACTACAAGCACGATCTTGGCGTTGACTGTCTTCAATTTATGCATTAGATGTGTAAATGAAGCTTTTTTTAACATAGTCTCAGCTTTCACTTGGCTCTGGAACGGAACTTGGCCATCTTCCAGCAATTCTCTGTTTCACCAATTTTACCAGTCCTAAACCTTCCCAACAGAGGCATAGGTTAGCTAGTAATTCGGCCAGTCACTTTCCACATGAAAAATCTAAACTGCTACTCTCTAAGCAGCAAACAACTTGTTTGGTAAAAACTGTGTGCTTCTCCCTCTCAACTCTCTTATGTTCTGTTGTTTTCAACTTCAAACAAAACCAGGATTTCTTCTCTGAAAGTATTTGAAATAAGCCAACAAATCCCCCAGGTTTTGACTAAGAAAATCGTGAAGAATTTGAGGCACATAACCCATTTTATAACTTCCAAATTTGGCAATGTTTGATACATCTGTGGATTTTGTGGTTGAAACCAGTTCTTTTAAAGGAAGTTAAATTTAAATTGAATTTAAACAAACTGATTTTAAAATTCATTCCACATAAATTTTGGTAGTACCATCTGTTTGGACTCACTCTGCTTTCTACTCAAATCACAAATAACGAATCTGGATACCTCCTTTCCTCCTTCAGGGTTAACACAATGTGAGTACAACTTTTGAAGTCCCTCTGCGGAGGTCAGATACTGGTACCATGGGAAACTTGAAAGCAATTGAATAAAGTCAGCGAGGTAATGTTCTGGGTATCCATTCTCTAGATACTTTCAGTTTAGCTTTACCATACAGACGGTGACCAAGTAAAAAAGCCTTCACATGCACAAATAGATACACTCAAAACACAAAGCTTTTCCCCAAAAAGGAAAGGCATTTCCCAGGCATCAGTGACAAGCCATCAATAGCTCGGTGCAAGTAGGACTTGAGTACACCACCAACTCTTGCAGGAAATGTTCTGCTTCTCTACTGGTTTTGCTGCATTAAAAAGGGAAATATTAACAGCTTACCTCCAGTTTAAAAGCAAGGCCGATAAAAGGTTGGGAATCATCTCTAGTGGAGTTCAATAGGAACTTGGTTTTGTCCTCAGAATCCCTTAAAAACAAGGACGGAGAGGGAGTTTATGTTATGAAGCAAGCATGGCAGCCTCCTCTAAACAGGAGCCCCAACTTAGAAAAGTCCCAAAGGCCTTCAGCTTCACAGGTTTATAATAAAGACTTAAAGATGCTCACATATGTAGCTGCTATATGCTCAGAGAGCATTTCAGAGAAACTGCAGATCCCAGAAAGGAGGTTGAAACTGTGACAAATACCACTAGTCCTTCATATCACCCAACTATTTTGCCATGAAAGCAATTAATCATACACTCACGAGCAAATCCAGCTTTAGAGTGAAGAGTCATTGCGGTAACTCTTCTGACAGTGCTCATGAGCCACGTGAGAAGTTTTAGTCTACCCTAGCAGGCAGACCTTAGAGGCAGCAAGAGGCACAGCAGCAGTGAGGACTCAATGAGTCAGGTAATTGCTGGAGAAAAAGTCATAAACTATATTTATTAGCATAATTCTATTTAGCTATCGTTATATTGTCTGAACAACTCAAACATATTAAGAAGACCTAATGGCTACCCCTAAGCCATGACTGGAATAGTTAAGAGCTGGCTCTAATGTTGGGTTTCATGCTTCTTAATTGTGAAGGCACATCTACTTCAACAAACACATCCAAAGAATAAAACATTGTTTACACATTGCAGATGTGCTCTCTTCTCTACAGTAGGCACGGTTTTGAGGGTAACCATTAATTTCTAAAGAACTATCTCATGAGATATTAATTTTTTTAATGTGTATTAAAAATACCAGTATAAACAGTAACCCTCAAATGAGAAATGAGCTTTCTTTGTTTTGGAAGTTGGTGCAAAATTTGGTGGCATTGTTTAATACAAATGGTAAACAAGCATGTATTTTGTTAGTAATGTTTCCTGCTACATATGACATTGCTTTGAAACCCGATTCCAAGACCACTTCATATGCTCATGAATATACTTACCCCTGGTTAAGAATAGCATAGTTCTCAACCTCTGAAGGATTGGGAAGGTATTCCAGGACAGCATCCAGCAAGGGCTGTACTCCTTTGTTTTTTAACGCACTTCCCACAAGTACTGGGGTAAAGGACTTCTTCAGTGTTGCTCTTCTGATTGCAAGCTGAAAAATACCAGAGCATTACTCTCCTGCAACAACTTCAGCAGCCTGATGCAGTACCAGCCAAGCAGTGGTCCAGATTCTCTCTCTTTGCTGGTCACCTCTGCTCCTGGAGTAAAGTAGCTGCTCCCACACAGTCTCCTGTACAATTCCCTAAACAAGCACTCCGCGTTAAACCTACTAACTGGAATACTAAAGGAGTGCGAGATTCTCCCCCCTGCCATCTTAAATTCAACTTAAAAATGAAAACGCCTAAGATAAATATAACGATAATCCTAAAATACTCAGAAAAAGTTTCTTCACCCTCTGCTGGTAAAGTCAGGACTCTTCATTGCTGTTTTAAACTTCTCATTCCCCCTATTTAGTTGTTTTGGGAAACTATACACATTTAAATTTGTGAAAGATAAGATGCTTCAATATCTTTAAGCTACAGAAAACTCTTCTGAAAGAGGAAGTTAGGCATGGAAGGGATACTTGGGTAAGTGCCAAGCTCAATGAATCATCATTTTTTGATGAAGAAAGTTTTAAAAGCACAATAGAAGAACCCATTCACATTCATCCACAGACCCGCTGAAGCTGTACCAACTGTCTTGGGAATCTTTCCAGGATGTCCTAGCAAACGGAGCAAGATAAACTAACTGCACAGTAATCTCATGCTTCTTCAGTGCCTTTCACCCAAGCATCACACGACGTTGCAACGCACAACTGAGCACCAACAGCTTCCGTAACAGTGATCATAGCTGTCTTCCATAAAGGCGGACAGCAGCTATTTGCCCCCCTCCCCACCCTGCAATTGATTACTGAAGCCAAGATTGCCGCCTCCGTTTCACCTCTCCCTGCCACTAGAGGATGCCAGTTCC